GAGGGAGGTGTGGGGGTGGTAGCGGGCGGGGGACCTATCGGTAGCGAGTTGGGAGCAGAGAGCCAGCCGGAAGGTGGGGAGGCAGTGAAGGAGGTGTCTGGGGAGGCTGGGAGGGCAGGGGTGGGCCCTGCTGTGGGTAGGGGTGGGGGTGGAGGTGAGGGTCCACAGAGGCTTGGGAGCAGAGGACAGATGTTGGGTTCGCTGTTGCCATTGTCTCCGATGTCAGACCTGGCAGCGGCGTGCAAAAGCAGTCTGGGTGATGGAAGGACCATTGGTCTTCCTGCGCGGCCCAGTTTTTTCAGATAAGCTTTCTGGTCTCCTGGACTTCGGCCATCTTGCCGTGGGGGTCAAGCCAGTGTTCAGTAAATGGTGAGATAGCCTCTTGCTTTTTCTCTGTCCGGACTCACTGCTACCTCTTCCAACAGTTTTCTACCAGCTTTGACCAAGTTAGACTGGATAGTTTCTTCGAGTTCAGCTTTGGGGTGGTGATGGCCAAACGTTATTTCTTGTCGCTTTGCGGAGCACCTCATCTGCCATATGACCATCAGGACAGCCAGCCTCATGTGTTTGAACATGTGTCTTTGGAAGGGTGTCCAAGCCAGTGGGATGCTTTTCCGTTTCCCTAGCAAAATGAGGGCTATGTCCAAGTGGAATACTATTCCTGTAAGAGCGTTCCACATTGCGTCCCACCATTGCCATATCGGTAGTGCCGTTGGACATGCCAAAAGGCAGTGTTCCAGATCTGCCCTCCGTTGAGGGGCATTCGACCCACAATGTGAGCAGATGGGGGACAGAACCCCTGTCGGTTCCCATTGTCTTAACCTGGCCCCTCTTTGTAAACCCACCCTCCGCCCTCACTTTCCTGACTCACGACTAGTATTTGCCCCCTAACTGTTCCTTCTGTAATCCTGATCGTTTGATTATCATGGGAAGTAGGTTATCCCACTCTTCTTGGGCTTACATGCAACGCCTCCGCCTGTATCAGACATTAGTACGTACTATCTCACTACTAGGTGCCCACCACCTGCTGGCTTCAATCTATTGGTTAGGAGCGCACCTGCTGGAAATTGGGTCCAGCGCCCCTTATACAGGAACTTTACAGAGTTGCTGAGAGATACTGAGAGTTTGCGTATGCTCAGTCATATGCGTTGGCTGTGGCCAGCCTCTTCAGCCCTCGAGTGACTGCCAGATTCCTCTTCCTTCCACTAGCTAGCTAAACAGCCTGATACCTAGGCCTGATGCCCATCTCCCTCCTGGGCTGCCTTCCTGGGGGGTGCACCAGAATGAGGCAGGAGCTCCCCCCCCTTTTCGGGAGAGAGGGTGACAGTGACCCAGATTGTAAAAAAGGGGACCGCTTTGGGTTCACTCCTGACTTCGAAGTGCAATCTGAGTGACAGAGGATGGTGCTGTAGTTAGACGTATACTTCAGTCAGAGCAAAGGAGTGGGGTGGAAAAAGGTCTCGGAAATCCGTTGGGGCCGTAAGCGAGAAAGCGGGGTCAATTGCTGTCCAATCTCGGAAGACTAAAGGCCTCGTTAGACACTCCTCAGGCCGTCCTCGGTCTCCGAGGACAAATCATCAGGGAAATTTGCCATTTTTGGCTGTGTCGTTCCACTTGTCCTCGGGGAGTCGCTCTGAGGACGGATCCTTATTGGTGGGGAGCAGCACCTGCTGGAAAGCGGGTCCAGCGTCCCTGAACTTTGTAAACATCGGATATGGGGATGTGGTATAAGCGCAGACATTTAATAGTGAGCAGCATTGATTGCCGTCGTATGAGGGGATTAACTGCCCGTCAAAACCCTAAGATCATTACGCTAACTAACCCACCTCCCCGTGATACACTCATGGTCAAGTGAGAATAAGGCATCTCTAATTGAAAGCGGATGAAGTGGAATAAAATCCAATCCCCAAACCCAAATACCGGAGGAACTGAGGGGGAAGATCAAGCGATCAAACAAATGAGACAGCCTATTCTCTGTTCCTCCATAGCCTTCAACTTATTTGGAATAAAGAGGTCAATTCAGGTCTCACTAAAACAAGACAAATCGAACCAGATAACCTTCCATCAAGGGGGGCCAATCGCTCAGCCGATGAAAGGCAAGTAATATGAGAATCACAGTTCCCGCACGGGGTAGGTTCCCCGGATCACAATTTCATGGGAAAATCACAAATTCGTAATAGATCCGTATCTATGAGATCAATGAGATCAATCGAGACCAGGCAATCAGATCGAAGCAGACAACCTTCCAGCAAGGCAAATCCGTTGTACAGGACGGATCCTTGGGGCCCTCCCGCAGTCCGTTTCATATGATTATACATGGCCGTGCGTGGTTTGTCAGTCTTCAGACTTTGAAATTTGAATGTCTGCTGAGGAGGCCTGCTGGTCCAGAAGGCTGATACCGCGAAGAGACGACGGGCCTCCGAAAAAAAAAAAAAAAGTGGGAATGGCCCATCCAAAATTCGAATTTAGAAATGCTGGCGGATGGAAGACGGCGAGGCAGTGGACGGGAGGGTCATCGAAGGGGCATCGTGCTAAGCGCACTCTTGGTGATTCCCCTACAGATTGGCCATGTGCACACGTACTTGAGTGACGAAGCCGACTGCCGGCTGCTCGCGGAGGCTTTGGCACGTGAAGACGGACATGATGTCAAGAGGGGATAAGACGTGATGGCATGGAGGCTTTCGCACGCGAAGTTCCAACGGCAGTGCTGGTCGGTCGAGAAGTGTGATGTCGAAATTCGTCGTGCATCGCAGGCTGTCGAAATGCGCAGTGGTGGCAACGACGGTTGCGGCGGGTTGGTGGTGGACCTGTGTGTTGGTGTTGGCCGAGCGCGATGGAGGGAGTTGACACCCACTGAGAAGATGGCTGTCACCGTGACTGCGCTGGCCGTCGTCATCCGCACCCAGGTGGAGAGAGCGGCAGGGTGCATGAAGGCAACGATTTCAAGGCGGAGGCAGATGCTCTTGGTACGGAGGGTGGTCGACGCTCCAGACTGTGTGAGCTCTTCCTAGGCCGTTGTTCAACTATGCACAGCAATTGGGTGCGGTGTGCTCCCTCGGGCGACGCCACGGTGGTGGATGAAGCGAAGAACGGGTGGGACTTGGGAAGACTTGCGAGTGTACAATGATGCCACAGACGAGTACTTCCGGGAGAAGCTTCGCATGCCACGCAGGGATGCAAATCCTGGTCTCATTTCGCTTGAACGAGAATAATCATATGCTATTATGCTCCACTGTCCACAAATTCCTGCGATTGGCGCCATCGCTGGCGGCACCGTCCTCTACAGCCTTCTTGCCTTGCCGCCCTGCTCGCAGTTCGTCGTCCTTTTGCCTGGCCCGTCATCCGCCTCTCTTCCTTCCCACTGGTCGAATGTCCAATTCCTCCTCGTCGTCTTCGCCGCCATCAAGACCAGCCTCGTCCACACAACATCTTCAGCCCCCCCAGCATCGCAATCCACATACGTGTCATCCCCTCCGACGTGCATGTTGGCCACCCATTTCATTATGCCGGAAGTGCTCGGTTGTTGCATTTGTTGCCGCTGACCGTTCCAAAACTGCTGGCCCATGACTTCCGTCGCCGACCAGTCGTCAGCTTCCCCCCATCCATCGATTGCAGCATTGTGCGTCACCAAACGAGACACCCCCACGCCCGCTGTCTTCGTCGTCGAACCACCTGCGCCTGCAGCGTTCCCACCCACAGCCCTCACCGGTGAAATGAAATCACGCTCCCCCCCCACCTTCTGTGAACACCCTGCACGGATGTCCGCCCCCTTACTGGCCCTCATCGTTGACTTTGCGAGGATGACGCTTGTAGCTAGGTTGACGACGATGGTATGTGTGACGTCCGACTCACTGCCAGAGCGGAGACCGAAGCTCAGATCCACGACTCTTGCGTCGTACCCAGCCGGGGTTCGTCCCTCTAGCAGCTCTGTGTAAGACGGTGTCGTCAGCCGTCTCAAGAACTGGCTCTGCATCCAATCCTATGTAGAACCGCTGTCGAGAAGAACCGTTGAAGGTCGATGCTCCTCGCCCTCATCGTCACTTGGAGGCAATGGAATTTCGTGCGATGGCAGGTGGCTGTACAACGTTGGATTGTATGGCTGCCTGCCACCCTACATGGGGGTAGATTGCTGCCGTAACGAACCACCCGGCTTTGCTGTCGGCGCGCTGTTCGTCAAAAGCTTGTCTATCTTCCTCGCCTTCTTCGACGATCGCCTCATCGGTTCCTTTCATGAACGTGCCCTAGAAAACAAATGTGGAAGACGACAACAACGACGAGCAACACAACAATTAGCAGCAGCAGCAACAGCCTGCGGTGCAGGTCTGTGATGAACAACAGCGGGGCAAAGACAGCACACACACAGACGTGTGTCGCATCTGTTGCAAGTGCTGACACATGCTAATCAGGAAGACGACAACAACACCACATTCGCGCATGGGGCGCCTTTTCGGGTGGATGGCTACATAATCCAAAATTATGAGCGTTGGAAGCCCTGGCCGAACGACATGAGGCCCAGACGAGCTGGCTGAAGACGTCCCCAGGTCGCCAAGAGGCCCCTCCATGGGCCACCCAAAGATGTCAACGCGCTGTGGTGCGGATCGCCGCCAATGGTAAACTGAAGAGGCCGTTACAGGTCCTCTTCGACGACGGTGACCCATGATGTCTGTCTTTGGGACTGGACAACGACTGTACCACCTACCGCCTTCGAAGGTTTACGATGCCACCCTGCGAATCGCGGATCCTCGGGCTTCAAAGGACCTCGCGAGGTCCTTCGGAGCCAAGGAAGATTTGCCTGAGGAATGTTTAACGAGGCCCTAAGTGGTAGTCCCTACTCTCCACAAAGTCTTTGTGATCCCTATCAGGCTCATCCCCACTCCATTCTACTTCAGCTATCCAGTGTATCCACCCGCCTTGTGGTCCCCTAGCCAGTCGGAGCTGAAAGCTGTCCGCGCCCGTTTATTGTCTTCAAGTTGGTCCCTTGCACTATGGTAAGACTTCAGGACAGGGCGTGTGGCCCAGTGGTTAGGGCACCGGTTCAAAATGCACATTGTGTCTTAAGGTTGAGGGTTCAAAACCCCGCATCCATGCGCATGGACACCGGTGGACGTTTACATAACGAATACCCATCTGAACCCCCCCCTGGGCTGGTGCAGGTAAGCTATTACAGAGACTGCTTGCACACCATCGAGGTGTCTAAGACTTAGTCCATGGTTGTTGTATGTTGGGTTTGGTTTGTGGGATGTTTGCCTGATGCTCTTGGTTCTAGTGGTTCTTTGGGTGATTGCATACTTGGGGATGATTGTTCATTTGCCTTCCAGTCCGATATTGCGCACAAATCGTTCAGTTTTTACGGTAGCTCAGTAGGTTTGATAGATTGCATGTATGAAGTTGTGTGCTCAAAACTCGCTCACGTAGTGGGATGCAGGACCAAGAGACCTACACACCGCCCATAAATTCAGGAACGGTTGATGAGAGTGTGACTTAGTACATATTGTGGCCGGTGTTGGTAGGTTTCTTGGGGCAAAGATTAGAGTAGGGGGTCTGTTGCTAGCTAGAGATCTGAAGGGGTCAACCACTAGGCACGAGAGGGGTTAGGATAAGGGTTCCCCTGAGGACAGCTCGCCCGTAGATTGGGAACGGTTGATGATAGTGAGACTTAGTACAATCTACAGTCGATGTCTGTCTAAACTACGACCCTACAGACCGCCCATGGAATGAGGAACAATTAACAACAATTTCGTCAAAACGGACATATTTTATGTTTTGAACGAAATTGAAACCTTATAAATTGGCCCGATTTAGGTGGAAATTCCAGGCTCTTGAGGGTCCGGCGTCCTTAAAACGTCGGACCCCCTGGATGTATTTGGAATTAGCTGGAGTCCAGGGGGTACGATGTTCTGAAAACACCGTACCCCCTTGGATATATCTGGACTTAGCTTGCATCCAGGGGGTAGGGTGTTTTCAGAACGATGTACCCTCAGGAGCTGAAAATATCGACCTAAATCGGGCCAATTTATGAGTTTTCAATTTCGTTCAAAAAATAAAATATGTCTGTTTTGACAAATTTGTTGTTAGTTGATGATAATGAAACTTGGTACAGTCTATGGCCGGTGCTAGTAGGGCTCTTGTGTCGGTGGGGTTCTCCATAGGATTGATTGGGTTGGCTGCCTCCTGTGTTCGGTTCACAATTAACAAAAAACAAGTAGTATGTGCACAACGGACAACCTAACAACAAAACAACAATAATAACATTTGTGTACACAATGATAGGAACACAAAATATGTCCATATATGAGACTTGTAGTGAAATGTATGTACCGAGCACCTAAAGTACCTGGCGACAAGGCTTGCTCAAATATGCGTCAATTGAGGGTGAGGTTGAACGTCACACTCCCTCCTAACCTACCTCTTTCGTAATTTCTCCTGGTGCACTCGGGATCGTCTCCCTCCGAACCTACCTCTTTCGAAATTACCCCCATTATCCTACCTCAGTGTCTACCACTCAGGATCGTCACCCCCCAGCCTGGGGGTGACTTGACGGTCCTGGCCGAACAATGGTTGTAGGTACTAGGGCTAAGTTGAGTCCCACACTGTTCGGTCAGGACCGTCAGTTCACCCCCAAGCTGGAGACTGACGATCCTGAGCAGTAGATACTGAGGTAGGATAGCGGGAGTAGGAGTGCGCCAGGATAAATTACGAAAGAGGTAGGTTGGGAAGGAGTGTGACGTTCAACCTCACACCCTGTGCTGTTGTCCGGTCGGAGTGATAAGTTGTGCAGAATAAGCCTTAAAAGACAACAAAAATGGGGTGTGCCGTACTTTAGGTGCTAGGTACAAATGTTTCACTACAAGTCTCATAGGTGGACTCAACTTAGCTTTGGTACCTACAACCACTCTTCGGTCAAGACCGCCAGGTCACCCCCAAGCTGGAGGGTGACGATCCTGAGTGGTAGATACTGAGGTAGGATAGCGGGAGTAGGAGTGCGCCGGGATAAATTAAGAAAGAGGTAGGTTGGGAGAGAGTGTGACGTCCAGCCTCACGCCTTGTGCTGTCTTCCGGTCGGAGTGATAAGTTGTGTGGAATAGGCCCTGAAAGACAGCAAAAATGGGGTGTGCCGAGGATTTTTGGAAAATTGAGTGTGGGGAAAAAGACAGACTGAAGTTCCCCATGTGGTTCCGGTTTAGTGAGAAAGTGTCATCACCACATGGGAAGGAAACAAACGCGCGTAATTTTCAAACATCCATTCAATCCAAAAAGTATGGATGAACCTTCATGCGGGCTACTGACTGTCTTTTAGAGTGGAAGGGCCAAGGTACATACGTGGGATCTCGTTTTTGAATCAAATCCCAATGTCGCTTGTTAAAGAGCTCGGAATTCGACGTGGATGGCCTCAACCGGGCTGCTCGTTCCTTATGTTCGTCTTCACCACGTGTTCGGTAGTGGAAGCCCCTTTTCCGATAACGCTTTGCGCGGCGACAATCACTACTACCGCCCACGAGATGACGATCAACTCGTTAAAAGGCAATAACCATGAGTACAGAGGGAAGTGAGTATTGATAATGACAAAACCAGCGCCTACGAATCTAGAGCACCTTGTGTCAGGTGAAAATAATAGCGTCTGCCGATCTTGGCGATGGCTTCCCGTACGTCCCACTTGCATACGCGTATCTTTTCCTCGTTGTACGAGAATAACTGCGATGGGGATGCAGGGAGTCGATACCTGGACGGGTCGGAACAATTGGTCCACATGGCAGAAGTGAGTTCTAAGTACGAGAGTCTATCCGATCGACTGTTCAATCACAAAAGCAACCAGTCGCGATACTACAGACCTTATTGCATTTCATCCATTCAGTGAACTGATCAAAAGGAAAAGTGTGAGTCCAATCCAGTCAGAACAACAATTATCATTCACCAAGAGAGTAATAAGCATGCATTCCCATAATCTCTGTGAGATTATAGCTTAGTTAACATAATCAATGTGCATGTGCATGCGTGAGTCCTTAGTTATTCGAGAGACACATCAACAACCAAAAAAAAAAAAGTCGATAGGACCTCCTGGAGCTCGCTGGTCCCTTTGAGTTCAATGATGCTCGTTTACGAGTTCCGATTGAATTCAATAGGGGCGAGCAAGATCAGTGAAATCTCAAGCCATACAGACAATATGGAGGGAGAGCATTCGACTATTTTGCTCTTTGATATACTGGCCCCTAGCCAGGCAACCACTCGTACACATAGAGCCTCCTCATCCAGGTACTGACGATCCCGGCCGCCACGTACCATCCTCCAAACCATAGTGATTGTCACCTCGCCAACTCAGCCTTTTCACCAACTTGCCCAGATCCCACAGTTCGTCGTCGCCACCCGACGCACAGTCATGCATACACTGCAGTCGGCTTGTCAGGACTTTCCGACTTGCTACTTGCACATCACCTAGCCACGACAACCCTGAAGCTGGCAGATGGGTTGAGAGAAAGCTTTTCTGATGCGCTTGCGGGTTTTATAGTTGCGAAGAGGGGAATAGAAGATGGAGGAGAGTGAGGCAGAGGCAAGATGGGGTGAGGGGGGCGTTTGGGTTAATTGCGCGGGGAAAGTCATCAATCCCTGTGGGTTTCTTGGAAGCCAATCGGATCACAGCATGCGGGAAGTATCCTCCCTACACGCCGTCGCCTTACGACTTCGAATGCTTTGAGGGGGATCGATAGGGAGTTCTAGTAAGGGGATGGAGGTGGAAGGAGGATACTAGCGTGAAAGGTAGTGCGGAGTGGAACCAAGATTTAAACGAGGAGTAAGGGCGAACTGCGAGAGGAGAGGGGATGGAAAACAGTTACGGGTGAAGGAGAGAAGGCGCGAAGAGGAGGAGGATAAAAATTACATGGGTCATAGTGGGAAGCGGGGAAAGCTTGCATGCATGGCGCTGGTGCAAAAAAAAAAAAAAAAAAGCACTGAAACAATTACGTTCCAACCATTTTGGTTCCAAAGGTACTTCGAGATTGAAAATTTCAAAAGCAATATTGGCGCGCGGA